TTCCGGGGGGGGATGGGGATGGCGACGCAGGGGGTGGCAAAGGAATCCCGCCTATTGGGGAGAAAGGGTCTCACGGCCGCAACACGACACTGGGAGGCAGCGCCGGGGTGGCGGGTTTCGCCGTCGACCGGACTCCGTCGACAGGCACCCGGCCCGAGCACACGACACACTCCGCCGACCCCCAGACTTCGTCCGTGGGCTCAGCGAGGGACACGTTGGCAGCCTTGGTTGCTCTGGGCAGTCGATCGGTCGGAAAGCCGAAGTCCGCCGGGATCCGAACTACGTCGGGTGAGGAGCCGCCAGAGCGGTCCGGAATGCGAAGCTGCTCGGGGTCGGGGGATCCAAGCACGGATCGAGAGATTCGCAGCATTGCGGCACGGGACGGAGACGTCGAAACGGTGTCGCCTGGGCGGGAGCGACGGCCACAAGGATTGCAGCGGGAGGCTGCAAGTGCAGGGTCCGGCGACACGGAGACCACGAAGTCCGCCGATATCCGAACTTCTTCGGGCGGGGTTTGTCGGCCAGGGATTGTCGTGCCGTTGAGAGGGGCAGCGTTTACGGGGACGGAAGGGCGGTCCTTGCGATTTGGGACTGGTACCGCGGAAGGGGACAAGTTTCGTGGGAGGGAAGTAAGGGAGGAAATGGAGGAACAGAAGGGAGCGCAAGAAGGAGAGGAAGAAGGGGAAGAAGAGGTGGAAGGGGAGGAAGTGGGAGAAACGAAGCTAATTGATTTGTTTGAAGGAAGGGAGGGTGCCAGGTCTGGAGAAGACGAAGTGGAACACAATGAGGACGATGCCGGATCTGGAGAGTCGTCTGACGAGTTCGGACAACTGTACGGAGAGCATCACGAGGATGATGTCGACGACGATGCCATGGCAATAGAGATGGAGACACAAGTGGTCAGCAGCCTTTCCGCAGAGCCTGAAGATTATGCGGTCCGGCCACTTACGTCTGCTGTCGACTTGCAGCACCGGTTCGACGAGGCTTCCGTCGCTATTAGCCCGTCTGAAAAAAGTCGACGTATAAGCATCGACGAAGTTATCGACGGTATCCTCGGCGACCACAATGTGTCCGCAACTGCCAACGTCACATCTTTAGTAGCAGCTGCCCTCGCTTCGTCGCCGCCGAAGTCTCTGGTGCTGCAGGCCACCCTTGCCGCCGAAGGGGAAGGCGATTGCGGTGGAGGACAGCATGTGACGTCCCCAAAAAAATCGAGGTTCGGCAGTCAGGCTCTCGACGTGCTCGCTTTGCCTGCGCCAAATTCACCATTGAAGGAGCGGAGAGAGAAACAGACTGGTAAGCCGTGAAGAACGCCTGCGCATCCGGATGTCGCCGGATTACAGTCCGAGCTATGCACATGACGACTGTCCACACTGTCTGTGCATACGGGAAGTTCCGGATGCCGGCATGCTACAGCCAACAGCCCTTCCTACTCCAGCTCGTCGGCCTATCTGTGACTCGGCCGGGTTGCTAGTCGAGGGCGGTGAAAACTTCGTCCAAAACCTTACACTCCATCCAACGAAGGATCTGCCCCGACTGAGGAAGTGGCCAAGGTGCTAAGAAAGTGGCCAAGTACATGGACTGACAGTTTTCCCTTATCGGGAATAGTGCCGGTTTTAGTCCGTCGGGATCTGAACTTCCTTGTCAATGCCTGATGTGGTCAGTCTCAGTGGGGCTGGTGTGTTGAAAAGTCCGCCGCAGTCCGAACTTTGGGGATTGCTGGCCTCCGGCTTCTGTGAGTTGTAGTGGTTTTCCTTTGCGAAGTGCGGGGGGTGATAAGCTCGAATGTTGCAGTCGTTTTGTTTTCCAGTCGCACAACCGCACCTGGGTGCACATGACCACGCGAGATCAGGGTCCTGTGGTCGAAGAGGTCCTGCTTGACTGTAGGCCAAGGTGCTAAGAAAGTGGCCAAGTACATGGACTGACAGTTTTCCCTTCTCGGGAATAGTGCCGGTTTTAGTCCGCCGGGATCCGAACTTCCTTTGTCGATGCGTGATGTGGTCAGTCTCAGTGGGGCTGGTGTGTTGAAAAGTCCGCCGCAGTCCGAACTTCGCGGATTGCTGGCCTCCGGCTTCTGTGAGTTGTGGTGGTTTTCCTTTGCGAAGTGCGGGGGTGATAAGCTCGGATGTTGCAGTCATTTTGTTTTTCGGTCGCACAACCGCACCTGGGTGCACATGACCACGCGAGATCAGGGTCTTGTGGTCGGAGAGGTCCTACTTGACTGTTGCGTCTGTACGAATATA